TTATATATATATATATATTATAATAAACACTTTATTTTCTATTCATTACGGTATGAAGTAATAATATGTAACTCTTCTAATTTATATTTTTTTAGAAAAAAAAAATTAAGGATATAGGAATAGTTTTATTGTGAGTAATAAGAAAATACACTTTTCTAGAGATATTTTTATTTTTCAAAATTAATCTTACAATTAATTAGATGAGAGAAATATTTTGTAAGTAGGTAACACGTTTTGGATAGAATAACCTATAATTTATTGACTCAATTGTGATTAAAACATATGTAATGGTAGTTATTAAATTTATGTGATTAAAACATGTGTAATGGTAGTTATTAAATTTATGTTTTAATCAATTATATACTTTCTTTATTTATAATAAGTTCCTTTTAGGTTATTTTATATAGATAAGTAAAATTAATAAATATTTAAAAATAATAATAATTTTACAAAATTAACTTTATGATTAAATTTTTTTATTAAAAAATAATGCAACACAAAAACCTCTTTTTATATAATATTATTACCGGTATATATGGATAAGAAGTAATTAATATTATATTGTAAAGATAGCATAAAATTTATTTTATGATTTTTCTTCAATATGACATTTTTTATGAGACAAAGGGAGTAATATTTTAGATAATAAAATAATATAAATTATAAAAATAAGATACAGATTTAAATTCATATAAATGAATAAATTATATATTTTGTAAGATAAAAATAAGTGTTAGTTGATATAATAACTTATACTTATGTGTAATTCTTAAATATATATTTTTATTTATTTTTAAAAAGTCCAGCTGTTTGTAATGTGTCTCTTTTTATTAGTTTTAGACTAGGTTGGCTAGTTTTCACTTTTCACTATTTCTCAGATGAGCTATTTTGTTATTTTGAGTTTACGAACTAGCAATTGATCCAATTTGTTAGGTAAGACATATTGAATCCATCAAGTTTTTTATACAATGAAAGTAATATTTGTGCTTTCTTAATTCAATATTATAAATGCCACGATAATGTGCCTAGAAAATTTCACGTGAAAAAATTTTGATATACATTTTTTTTTTTTTTACATTTATGAGAATTTTAAGTCGAAAATATTAATTTCTCATATTTTAGAGATATTTTAAAAAAATTAAGATAAAAATTTTTATTTTACTTTCTTAAAAAAAACATATGACACACTCCACTATTCATTGTTCATTTTTCAAATATTAAAAAAAATACAACATTATGTACTCTTACAAATAACATATAAATCCTTTGACTTCTCTCTCTCTAATTCTGGTATCTTTTTAACTTTATAATAAAAATCAAATAATTATATATTTTTCATAAAATATAATAATTTTATAATTATTTAAAATTTATAAATTATAAAACTGTATTACTAATTTCTTATTACGTTTTTTAGCTTTTAAATTTAACAAATTATTTAAATAAAATAGTGTTATATATGTTCTTTATTATTTTCTAGTTTACTTATATTTTTATTTTAATTGTTATTTGGATTTTTAATTTAACTTCTTTTTATACCGTGATAAACCATTAAAATTCCATTTTACACTTTGACTTATTGTGTATTTTGCATATATGTAAATTGTTGATTTTTTATTTAAATTTAAATATGATATTTTTTATATTATATTATGATGCGATTACACTTTACAAGGATGAAGAAACTCAAATTTTGTAAATAATATTTTTTTTAAAATATTTATATACCTAAGAAATTAATATTATAACCAAACATAAAAAAATTTTATTTTTCAAGGAAGCTATGTAAATAGAGTAAATTACGTTACCTTCCTCTGGATAAGGATGATATAATATTCTCCTCTCTTATGTTAAAATATACAATTTAGTCAATTTAACTTAACATAATTAATGAAAATTACATTTTCTTTTCCTGAGCGATGTAAATATTATACTATTCACTCTACATATGTTAAAATATAAAATAAATTATACTTTTATTCTTTAAAGTTTTAAATATTATATTATTACTCTCTTATTATATTAAATTAACACCGTTAAAGAATTATTATTATAAGATTTTCAAAAAAATTCATTTAATTATTTTTAAAGGGAAAGTGTAGTATCTTATATACTAGTAACACACTTTTAATATTGTTTCATTAATAAAATCTTTAATATTAGTATTTCAATATACCTTTTCATGGTTTGAAATTTATGTAGGTTTTACTGATTTGAAAATAATAACCATTAATTGAGTAATAAACTTCGCATCTTTATGCATAGTATAATTTTCACTAAATAAGAGAGAGACTATAATCATATATTACTACAACATAGAGATCTTTACTATTGTATCTGCTTCAGTCATACTTCTTGGTCATTTTTCCTAACGGTGTTTTTTTTCTTTAATACACAAATAAATGAAACACCTATTGACATTCTTAATTTGTCACTCTATCTCAAGGTGATTTCTTGTGTTATCTTAATTATCTATCCTCTCTTCTTATCTATCTCAAGGTGTAGGCATTTCTTAGACATTCGAAAATCCTTTTCCTTTTCCTAATATAGCCAATTTTTTAATCCACTTGTTCTTGTTTTTTCTTTGCTTGTTACCAAAATTTGAATATATGAGTATACATTTATAAACATGCATGCATGTATTCTATATGTATAGCCATCGTAGATCAATACAAATGGTACACGGTATCAGTCTGATATTCTTTGCTACCATAAAATCTTATTTTTGTTAGTATAGTTACTCAAAAAAATTCTTTAACATCAAAGATAAAATTCCTCTAATAAACTTTAATTGATCTTTAATTTGACAAGTAAAGTTCTAAGTTAAATAATTAGATACCACTAAATTTTAATTAATTATTAAAAATCTAGTGTTAGAAGTTATTTTTAATAAAAAAAAAAACTTTTTAAAACACTTCTAATTATATCCAATCAGGATTTAAATTAACAATAGTATTTGATTTAAGAATTCTATCATGTTATAAGCTTTCAAGTCCGAAAAACATGGAAGTATGATCCCTAATCTACCATTTTTACTCATCAAAATTAGAAAAAACTGTATATGTCTAAATTTCACAAAACATTTTTGCAGGCAATGATTCTGGGAGGAACAGACACCAGCTCAGCCACACACATATGGACACTGTCTCTGCTACTGAACAACCCCAACACACTGAAAAAAGTGATGGAAGAAATGGACACCCACATCGGAAAAGAAAGGCTGGTAACCGAGTCAGACACAAACAAGTTGGTATACCTTCACGCCGTGGTGAAAGAATCCCTAAGGCTATTCCCACCCACTCCTCTCTCCGCACCTCGCGAGTTCCGCGAAGATTGCACCCTGGGAGGGTACCACGTGAAGAAGGGAACGCGTCTCATGACAAACCTGTGGAAGATCCAAACGGACCCTAGCGTTTGGGAAGAGCCCTTGGAGTTCAAGCCAGAGAGGTTCCTCACTACGCACAAAGATGTTGATGTTAAGGGTCGACACTTCGACCTCATACCCTTTGGGAGTGGAAGGAGGATTTGCCCTGGAATATCCTTTGGCCTTAGGACCACTTATTTGACTTTGGCTAACTTTCTTCACTCCTATGAAGTCGTCAAGAGTTCCAATGAGCCTATAGATATGACTGCATCGGTTGAAATAACCAATGTCAAGGTTACTCCACTTGAGGTTCTCATCAAACCTCGTTTGTCTCCTAGTCTTTATGAATCCATGTGATGTCATTATTGGATGGTTGTTGTCTTGGTGTAACCTATGCTCATTTGGAGTTTGTGGATGACATCCTCGGGAGTAATAATATATTGTAATCTTTGTCTTGATTTATTCATGTTTATAAATAGGGCAAGTTTGGGAAGTGAGGGAGGGTAAATTAGTATTATAATTGAGAAATTTAAGAGCACCCCAAAAAAAATATATATTTTGCATGCTTGATGTATTTCAGTAATTTGATGTTGAAAGAATTAATGTTCTGAAAATGATTATTCATCTTTCTTATTTAGTTAATTTGAATGTTTTCAATTTATTTATAAGTTTATTTTTTTTATGCAGTGACAATGTAAATATATTTTTTCTCTGTCAAGCAATTAGAATTCAATTATAGGAAGATCTTTATTTATTTATAGAACTTATGATAAGTATATATGACTTTTCAATTGTGTTTTTTTTATATATATAAAAATTAGGCTAAAATACTTTTTTAAGCCATTGTAATTTTACTTATATTACATTTATATTTATATATTTTTAATTATTTTTAGTTTTTAATTTTAATTTTTTATAACAATATTGTTTCTATGTGAGTTTATTAAATTTACATGACGATATATATTAGTAATTTGATCACGTATTGACTATCTACAAAATCATTCATACTCTTTATTTTTTTTTTCTTCCAAATTATTAAGCAACACGTTACTAACCACAAAATCAAATAAATCATCACCTCGCGAATTTAAGAAGCCCATGTTTGAAAATGAAGTAACAAAAAAATTAATTGCAGGAACTAAAACGGATAAAAAAATATAAGTATAGAAATTAAAATAATATATTTTAAGTTATTAATCTAAAATATAAAGTTAATGAAATTATATGAATTAAAAAAGTATTTTAATTTAAAAATTATATATATAAGGATATATATATA